GGAAAGAATTATAGATTGAGGAAACAGTATAATAATAAGAGCTTCAATTTACTAATTGCTTACATGTATCAAGTACTATGCTAAATATATTATATCCATTTCTCATTTGAGTCTCACAATAACCCTACAAAGTAGATATGTTCACCTCTGATATTATTTGCAGCTCAGAGTTTTATTTACTTCTCAAGATCACCCAGGTTTTAAGTGGCATAAACAGGGTTTGAACTTAGGAGTGTTGCTCTCTAGGTCTCATGCTTTAAACATTAGACTATAGTCACTATACTGCTGCCTACTAAAGGATAGATTAGGAATGAGCTTGTTAACACTGGAAACAACAAGGATATCAGCTAAATGAGGATGAGCAGTATGTTAGACACATATGGTAGGAAAGGAGATAACACAGGTAATTTTGGAGCCTCTGCCACCTGTAAAGAGCTTTGTACTTGGCAGGAGAAGGAGAGAGTCTGGTTGACAGGGATCTGATGCCCAAGACAAAGGAGAGGAAGATGAACATGGAAGTGTCAAGGGAAGAGTTCTCCTTCTTGATTTTGTAGTTTTGAATTATGGCAGGTGGCTGTTTACTAAGCTGCTGCTACACCTCTCCGCTTATCCTCTGGCACAGAAGTTTGGCTGCATATGCTCTGTGTTTGAACTGGAACATCAAGTCTGAGCTGAAAGCTTCAAGGGCCAGTTCAACCAAGTCACTTCAGTCAAGGGTATCTAGTTTTCTTTATCTTCTCCAGTAAGCCCACATCTCTCCACACCTCCACTGGAGGAATATGGCACAGAAAAAAGGAGGAGGAATAGGAAATATGCAGTAGCAGTCATTCTGTCCATTAGTAAAGTAAGGGGCTTCTCACATTTTACTCCCTTTCTTGGAATTTCTCTATTCATGGGACTTCTAGAACTGTGCTGTCCAATATGGTAGCCACTAACCACGTATGTCTACTGTGCACTTAAATGTGGCTTATCTGAAGTGAGACATAATGTAACTGCAAAATACACATCAGGTTTTAAAGAGAGTATGAACAACAACAACAAAAAGAATGTAAATATCTCATTAATACTGTTCATATTGAGTATATTTGAAATGATAATATTTGGTTATGGTTAATTTCATCTGTTTATTTTTACTCCCTTAAATGTAGCTACTAGGAAATTTAACATTACACATTTGACTCACTTATGTTTCTTCTGGCTCGATCTGTTCTAGAATATTTCCCCACAAATGTCAGGACTTCTCATATAAGGTGATTAACTGTGCTGTAGCATCATGGGTTTGTATGTCAGTCCTCCTCAACTCCATCATACCCAACACATCCTTTTTATAACGAATATTTGACAATGCTGCTTTTATATAAATCTTGAAGTACTATTTATACATAACTCATCTACCCCCCACACACAATTTCTTAAAAAAAAAAAAAAACAATAGCTGTAATGTAAATGAGAACTAAGAAAATAAGTTCTAATTAAACAGTATGCATATCAATATTGCGAATGCTCACATGTGACCAAGCCTGAAGACACAGTAAAATAGGTACTTGCAGCTATAGATAGAATCACTGAATGTAACAGTTATAATTGTAGGAGGATTCAGGTGTATTGTGTAGGAGACTCAAATACTGTAAGTGGTATTGTCAATGATATGATTTTCCTAAATGAAAACATTTTAGTAAATTCCAACCAAAAAAGTATAATCTTTCCACAAATTCTCTTGGTAGTTATTAAAACCATGCATAAATAAAGATTTGTAATTTTAAAACAGAAGTTCTAGATTCAAATATTTAAAAGCAAATTGTCACCTACATGAGTGGTACATGGGAAAGTTAGGCAAGCAGCGGGGCAATTCTTGGTTTTGCAGAACTGTCCCAGATATTGCCAGGCATCTATATTCCCTGGCTCCCACCTACCCACGAAAAGACAGTAGTACCTCCAAAACATGTGACAATCAAAAAGTCAACTCAAATTTTCCAGAAGACCCCCCTATGCAGTGGTACTGCTCCAGTTGAGAGCCACTGATGTAGATGTTTATTCACACTCTTAAAAATTTCCAAAATATATAGATTTCACATGGTCTTTTCCTCCCTGATTTTTTGGGGGATATGTTATAATGGAGCTCTTTCTTATAATTTAATCCCATATACTTTTTTTATTCACTAGTTTTATTTTTTGGATTCTACATATAAGTGATATCATACAGTATTTATCTTTCTCTGTCTGAGTTATTTCACTAAGCATATTGCCTTCCAAGTACATCCATGCTGTTGCAAACGGCAAAATTTCATTCTTTTTTATGGCTGAGTAGTACTCCATTGTATGTATATACGCATCTTCTTTATCCATTCATCTGTTGATGGACATTTGTTTCCATATCTTGGCAATTGTAAATAATGCTGCTATGAACACTGCAGTGTATGTATCTTTTTGAATTAGTGTTTTTGTTTCTTTTGGCTATATACCCCAGAGTGGAAATGCTGAGTCATATGGTAGTTCTATTTTTTTTTTAAGTACTGCATTTTCTTTTTAATATTTATTTATTTATTTAGGTTGCACCAGGTCTTAGTTGTGGAAGGCAGGCTCCTTAGTTGAGGCTCCATGGATCCTTAGTTGTGGCTCACCAGCCCCTTAGTTGCAGCAATGGACTCCTTAGTTGTGGCCTGCGGGCTCCTTAGTTGTGGCATGCATGTGGGATCTAGTTTCCTGACCAGAGATCAAACCCGGGACCCCTGCATTGGGAGCACAGAGTCTTATCCACTGTGCCACTGTTTTTTTTTTTTTTTTTTTTTTTTTTTTGAGAA